CAAAAAGAACTATGAATTTTTTTATAGCGAAATGAACTTTGTATCTTTCTTAGTTAACGAGCTATTTACAATTTTTTAACGGAATTTCTAAAGCAATTCGTCCGTCTTGACTTTTTTTTTTTTTTTTTTTTTTTTTTTTTTTAGTTTTAGTTTTACATCCTTCGGATCTCCCGTGCTACACCCTAATCCGTTTATAGCATGACGGCACTGCAGCCTGCGGCTTATTTTACCACCATTTGAAGGTCCTACTACTTTCTCATTCAACAATTCACTCCCTGATTCATCGTCATTCATTACACGTCGTCGGTGGTTAACCGCTAGTCGGATGCGTCCTATAGAGACACGGCCCATGGTGGAACCTCCCAGAGGTCACCCATCCACGACGTGACCGGAGAATCACTGCTTAATCAGTGGTGGTTATTTATATTTTTGTAAAAAAAGGTATTTAGAATATTGACTTGGCGCCATAAAAATGGTGTGCCACCCGTCCTCAAGGGTTCACCACGCCACTGATAAAAATACACGTTAGTTTGGAAATGTATTAAATTTAATAGTAATTAAAAAATGTATTTTCTTTTTTAACAAAAAATTAACAATTAAAAATAAACACTTGACAATAATTATTATACATATTTTATAAACTATTTAATTTAGTAAATGTTCAACATGTCCTCATCCTTCTTGAATACAAAAATATAAATAAGAGGTAGTTTTTGCAGGGGCGGCACAAGCACACCACTGATTTTTGTACGTTTTTTGTGCAATAACTCCTGACCTAAAAAAATTAAAAATTCATAGTTCTTTTTGATTTTAAGATCGATAAAGCAAGTTTCTTTATGTCAAAAAAAATACGGGGGGTTGAAAGGTACCCAACCCCCCAACTTTTTTAAAGGGGTCGCTTGCATTTTTTAAGAATACTTTCAAAGAAAAAATCGCAACAGCAAACTTTTTACAAAAAAAAAATGTTTTTTTGAATGTTAGTTTAACGCCCTGTAACTTTGTTAGGAGCCAGTTTTTGATATAGATAAATATAGCCAAATCGTCTTGTTTTTTTGGTAATCTATCTGAGGAAGAATTTATGACATACCTTTTTGAAACACCCTGTATAATAATACTCTCCCTAATTCATCCTCTTACGAGTGAAGTTCAACCCCTGAAGCCGACTGAGCGACTTGTGTAGGGGAAGGGACGACTATTATTATTTGCCGTGGCGCTCCGGGGCAACTTAAAGATGATTGATGGCACCATTTGACTTTCAGGTGAGGAAAATTCGGAAAACCCCCACCCACCATCACAATATTATTATCCCGTGCCTTGTGGGGCGGGCGGACAGAATGCCTTCACCTGGGCATTTATCATCGGGCACCAAATGGCCTCTTCTAGGAATGAGGCATCAGGAGACACCTCACTACGACGTTATTGACCTGAGAAGCGACAACCAGCAGGTTTTTGATGAGTTGATAACCTGCAGGAGTTTGATGAGCTGGGAAGACTTTAGACACCCCAGCGACAACAGAGATTTTGGGCATTTTGAAAATTTAGAATAGTTTTTATATCATTAACACTGCTTAAATCATGTTAGTGATATGAATTTAAGCAGACCTCAGCCATGAATACTGACTTCGGCAAGTTTACATATAAAAATATTGTGATTGATTTTGTTGAATGCTTTGCTAAGTCGGTATAAATAGCATCTTGAAATCAATTATTCATAGTATCCAGCAAATAGGTTACTCTCTCAACAAAACGTTTTTCCATGAGACCATTGTTAATATTTTTAAAATCAACAAATAGGTAGTCACAAGTGATCGATTTGAAAAGTTTAGCTATGCTATACAATTTAGATCAATTGACTATTATTGTATTGTGTTATACCGCAAGTGGCACATAAAAGGCAGCTATTAACGAAAATTGTTAATGCGAACCTGTAAACTCAAAGTCACCGGATCAAAATAACTATGTTGGGAACCCTACATTTATTTCATTTTAATTTAAAATGTTTATGGGTTCGCTGAGAAAGTACATTCCGAAATGGCATTTTCAAGGCAACACAATTCAACTAATTAATAAGTTTGGGCGACATTTCATAATAAGATCTCACCGTCACTTATTAGCCCCAATATGTTAGCTGAAGCAAGACCATCATTTTACAATCGCTTGGGGCACTATTTTACTCAAGAAGGTCTATTTAAACACCTAATACATTAGAAATTTGTTCTTTTCTTATTATTATTGATTGTAATTTTTTTTCATTTGAAAACAAAATCGATATTATTCCACACTTAATTTGATTTTAAAATGTTGCAATTTATACTATTATGATGTGATTAGGTTCTAACAAAAAATTGCAAAATTTTTCTAAATTTTGTTGATATACTAACAAATTCTTTAACTACTGTTTTATTGAAACACATTTTCTGAATAATTTTTGTTCCTTCACATTTATTTACAAAAATTACATCAAGTCTTATTCAATTTAAGCATAAAAACAAAAGGTAGCATAACACCAACTTACTGACCATTACATAATTAAAACACTTTTAATATTTACGTTAAATGCGTTAGAAACTAAGAAAACTTTTATACATGAAAACAACTGTCACAACTATCAAAGGTAATGTAATCTACCGCACCCAGGTACCTTCATAATTTATTAATTTCATTTATTAAAGAAAAGTTGCATTCTTATTAAAATCAACTTCCTTCATTTTTACGAAAAATCGTTAGATAATTAAATCTTATCTATGATGCCTAATAAATAAAAGCAGTATTTCTGTTCGCTCAATAACCAGAAAAGATAAAAGTTATCCAATGAGAATTCGACCCAAAAACCTCCTTAAAACATATTTCTTTTCACGAAGTAATAACCATTAAAATAGGACTAATTCTTTTCACGAAGTAATATTCATTAAAATAGTTAACGTGCTTATCTTAAGTCAGTTCAAATATTAATACCGATTTCAACAAGATATCGACACAAAATACCGAGAATTTCTCAAGGCACGTAATAAATTGACCACCTTTTTTTTATCCACCCAAATTCGTTCCCACCGGAGTTACGACAAATTGACGTCACAAAAATTTATTAAAACGGGTATAAATACCCGATCCCGAGGAACTCGAGATTCATTATTATATTAAATCCAGTCTAATTCAGTTGCTTTTCGAATACAGTTATATTTCAAGTTTAGTATCAGTACATTTAACACATCGACGCGCTTTCTAACCAACGCATATCCTACCCTACCTCCAAACTCCCGAACGCTTTCAGGTCCCGACGCTCAACGTCCCGCTGCTCTATTTCCCTACCTTTCTACGTCCCGACGATCTATATCACAAACGCTGTTATTCTCACGCCACCTAAGTATTCCCTACCATATATCCGTCCCGACGCAGTACCGTAATAAATACCATTCTCTCTGCCACGACGCTAGGCGACGCTCAACGCTGCGACGTACCCAACATCGACGCCGTCACAACGCTATATAAAATTAGTACATAAGACGAACCTAATATCTGTATTTTCAATGGTGAGTCGAAAAAGTTAATATAACTTTCTTTGAGATACCATCGGGGTTTCGTTTTGAATAAGAGCTGACATTTGTTTCAAAATGTTATCAATGTAACCTAATAAACCACATTGCCTTCGGGTATTCACTCCAAAAGACAGTTAAGTAACATATGTTTTTCGATGGTGAATTTGGGCCATTTCAATAGTATCAATATTTTAGAAATATATAGGGAATCTTGGATAAATTATGCATACAAATCTAAGCAAACCTCGATAGTCAAATTAAATAGTAAGTTAACTAACTGGTGAATTGACAATGTTCGCTCAAGGAAGGCAACTATACGAGCCACACATTCTATTAGGTTTGAACCATAAAGTATATGTGAACATCAACACAGTAAGTTAACCAACTGGCGAAGTGGCACTGTTAAACAAAAATAAAAGGGGTATGGGGTGGGCGGTTACAGTAACTTGCCGTGTTGTCTGCATAAAGGTAATTGTAGTTTCTGATAAATGAAGGTTATTATATGTCACTATATGTCACTAGTTCCAAAATGTGGATATTGGTGTATGAAGATACAATGATTTTGTTCTACATAAGTTAATCAATAGCATAAAACGAATATTTTGATCCGCTTGAAGAAAAAATTATTTCTATTTTTTTTTTTTTTTTTTTTCAATAAGATCACCCCTTAATAAGGTGACTAAAATGTTTAGAAACGGCTCTTTAAGGAAAATCCATAAAAATTAAAATGGTCATGTTGATTAATATTTATGTTTTCATTAAAAAACTCATTCTCAATAATTAATAAAAATAATTTATTTGAAAAACTCGAAAATGACAAGATTTATAAAAATTTGTGAATGGTAGTTACTGTTTCATATTTCTTAGTTTTTGTAAGCAGTTTAAAAACAAAAATCTAAAATTTAATTTAAATACATAATAATTTGTTTTAAATATCTCAAATATGAAATATTTTTAGACATATATGCCTATTAAGCAATTTGTCACTACTTTACACTATATAGTACCAACCATGGGCAACGCCATACGTGGACAAGGGGGCGTTTGCCGCCACCCCCCCCCTCCCCCTGGATTTGTGATTTGGAATTTTTCCGCCATGGCTTTCGATTATAGCCTGCGGCGATTTGCCACTCTAGAAATGTTTTGAACGGCGCCCATGGTATCAACTGTAATATGTTAAGCTTTTACTTCTTAAATACCCTATTGAATGCTAATTTTATATTATATATTTTATGTATGTTAAATCTTTATTATAGAATTTCGAGACATTCTTTATTTTTGTTATTTTTAAATTATGAAAGAATATATATTTTTTAAAGATACCCGTAAATGATGAGCAAACAATTTAAGGGTCGATTCTATTCGAAAAAATAATACTTTAAGTTCATAAAACATTTTTTTTTTTTTTGAAAACTCAAAAATAGCAAAATTACAGGGTGTCAAAAAATATGTTTTTTTTTTTTTAATAACTTTTTTCTAATTTGCCAATTAACTTTAAATTTGGTACACTTATTAGTAATATTGTTCTGTAGTTTTGGACCGAATTTGACACAAATCCCTTATTATCAAAATGTCTTAGCAGTCCATGACCATAACAAAATGTCCTTAAACTTTTTTATACATTTTGGAAAATTACAAGTCAAGACCATTAATGGTTATTTAACGAACAAGTGTATTAATATGTGAAGGCCTGGCTGGAATGAGGTTTCTAACATTGGGCAAAGAAAAGCCAATTGCATGCAACTACATGCGGGAGCCACTGTCAAAGCTACAAAGTCTAATAAAAAAAACCAGGCTAGACGACATACTCTAAAACAAACGGAGTCCCACAATAGATCTGAAAAGGTCGCGGTGGACAAGGACAAATAACGTCTAACTCCTAATCTAATCTACCCTTTTGTTCTACTAGGATAAAATAAACCGTTTGTAAAAAAATCGCTATTTAATAAATGAATACATTTTCAATTTTAATTATTATCTAGTTCAAAATCTGAGAGGCGTAGGACATATATGTTCATAGGAACTTTTTTGCTTCATTTCGTCCAAGGGACACGCCTCTGAATTTTTTCGCAATATTAAAAAAACACCCTAAAAGAAAGGTTGTTAGATATTGTTCCAGTGGAGGTAAGTACTGGGCTGGCTCATAAGACCAAATAAATTAATGTTTTAAATAACTTAGACCTCGAAGAGACAAAATAATTGGCTGTAGCTTCGACGGCGCAGCTAATATGTCAGATCAGTACAATGGACTCCAAGCCCATATTAAGGATTTTTCACCAAAATCTCTGTCTACATGGTGCTATGCATATATACTTAATTTAGTTGTTTATGATAGCACTCAATGTAATCAAAAAATTAAATATTACTTTGGGCTGTTGAATCGAGTAGCATGTTTTATTTCGGAGTCATATAAAAGAGTCCATTTATGCGAAACATTAAAATCTACTCACACCTATATATATTAAAAGATTATAAAAAATTGGAGAAACTAGATGGTGGGCAAAGAGTAAGGCTGTTTCTATTTTATTTGGCACGTTTGACGACCATTCTAAAGAAATTTATTCTACGTTGGTACTTGTTTTATTAGAAATGGCTGAAAGTACAGATTTTGACTCAAAAACATGCTCCGAGCCGCAGTCATTACTTGAAAATTTCCGCAAATATGGAACTCTTCTAATATCATTTATCATGATAAAAAATTTTTGAATACGTGACTTCCGCCTTAAATTATCTTCAGACAGAAGTTATTGATTTTATCCAAGCATACCATTTGGTAACAAATGCGAAAGCAATGCTAAATGATATGTATGACATATTTGATTTAATTGTTAAAAAGACAAATGCATTTTTAAATTACATAAATCAAATTGAGACCATTAGAAACAAAGATATTGTAATTGAACATGAGCTGCCACAACAAAGGTTTAGAAAAAGGAAACGTATGGTAGACGAAACCACTGAAGATTCCTTTATTACCGATCCAATGAAAAAATTTAAAGTGGAAGTATTTAAATCAGTAATTAGTCAGGCAATTCAAAGTATAAGCCAGAGATTTGAAGCCAACAAACAAATTTATGAAAATTTTTCAGGCCTTATCACCAGAAATTTTAAAAGCTTGGATTTATTAAGCGACTCCAAATTTACTGATATTGCAAAAAAGATTGGGATCGATAATGTGGAATTAAAAAATGAATTATTGAGTTTCACACAAATATATAGGCTAGTTTTTTTTATTTTTATGTTCTTTAAGAATGGTAGTTTTATTTTGTTTTTGATTTTGTACGTGTACCTGCTTATTTTAATTATTTATGTCTGTTGACATCGTTATATTTTGTGATAGAAATTTTTAGTCAGATTTAGTCAAATAGTACCCAGACAGCACACCAAATCCTTTGGATATCTACTGGACATCCCAATATCCACTGAATGTCCAGTCCATGGTGGATATCTATTTTATATCCATGAGATGTAATTTATAGACATGCAAATGTCCATAAATAATAGTAATTATATAGCAAATTATTAAAAAATTACGCCATTGTGGCTAATAGTACCGTTCAGATATTTAAAATTAATTTTTTTAGGGTGTATTCAATATCCCATGGACATCCACTAAATATATCAAAGTCTAGGCGCGAACGCAAACCATGGTGGATATCCACTAGATGTAATTTTTGATTTTGCTTACTAAGTATAGATGGCGATACCACTTTTGCTCGTTGAATATTTACTCATGCTCAACCCGCCGTAACTGAGTTCGATCGAAATTGGTATCGCAATCAGACTCCATTAGAGACTGGAGTCGAGAATTTCCATTTATTGCTGAAGAGTCCTAATAAGGATGACTTTCTCCTTAGTGGGCAAAATCAAAGGCAGAGTGTTGAAAATATTTTGAGTGTTGAAAATATTTTTTGTCTCTGCTATTTTCTTTCGACGTTATTCAATAATCATTGGTTACTTATGAACCTCTACTAAAGATATCCATAAAATATTTTGCTGAATATCCGAATATCTTCTATATCCTGGGATATATACCGACATTTGGATATCCATATTAGATCCACTGGATATATTGGATATCCACAAAGTATATTCTGTGGATATCTCTGGGATTTCTTGTATTGTCTGGAAGATACCCATTAGATATTTTGCTGGATAATCCATAGGATATCTTCTATATTCTGGATATAGACGGACATTTGGATATCCATATTAGATCCACGGGATATTTCAGATACCCTGTGGATATATTGGATATTCACAAAAGATATGCTGTGGATATCTCTGGGATTTGGTGTGTTGTCTGGGTACTTACTTATTTGTACTTCTAGTTTTGACTATGTAATATTAATTTTCTTATTTGTTATTGTTTATGAAAGTCAGTTTTTTTAATGTTAATTTGTGTTTTTTTATTTTTTTTTACTTTTATCTTAAAATTTTTCGTTTTATTGTTTATTTAAAACAATTAAAATGTTTTATGTAAAAATTAAACTTTATTTTTTATTTATTACGTACACAGTATTTATATTATGTTTTAAACGCATAATTTTACAGTTTTTTTAGATTATTTGAAACGGTCAGTTTTTTTTAATGTTAATTTGTGTTTTTTATTTTTTTTTACTTTTATCTTTAAATTTTTCGTTTTGTTGTTTATTTAAAAAAATTAAAATGTTTTATATAAAAATTAAACTTTATTTTTTATTTATTACCTACACAGCATTTATATTATGTTTTAAACGCATACCAGAAATAATAATGATTATTTATTATTCTCCAACTTAAGAATAACATGCAAAACACTAACTGATGAATGTTACCAACAATATATTGCAAGGGTTGAGAACAATATATCGACAGACCCTAAATAATTTTGGCGCTTTGCTAATATCTTTGCTAAAGATAAATCAAGGGGTGAATTTCCGAATGAAATGTATCTAAATAATAAAATTAGTAATAATGGCTGTGATACTGTAAATTTATTTGCTGATAATTTATCTACAGTTTATGTCAAGACTGATTGTAATGTACCTGTATTAAACTATGAGAAAACCATTAATGTAAATAATGTAAAAGTGACCTTGAGTGAAGTTTTTTCTAAAATTTCTCAATTAAAAGATAGTTTCTCTTCTGGTCCAGATGGAGTTCCATCTTACTTTTTAAAGAGGTGTGTCTGTACTGTTAGTACTCCTATTTTTATTATTTACAATATTTCACTTGATTCAGTAGTATTTCCGTATTTTTGGAAATACAGTTTTATAAGACCAATTTATAAATCGGAATGTAATCGTGACATTAAAAAGTACAGAGGAATATGTTTGCAATCATTCCTAAAAATTTCGATTCACTACAGAATATTTGTCATGGGAATGTAAAGGGCTAATAATTGATCAACAACATGGTTTTTCACAAGGAAAATCTACAGTAACTGCCTTGTTAAGTTATCAAAATGAAATATTGAGTGCTTTTGAAGGGGGGTATCAAGTACATTCTGTCTATACTGACTTCTCAAAAGCATTCGATAGAGTTAACCATGAATTGTTGATCGCCAAGTTGAGCTCATATGGTATCAATGGTAAACTTTTAAATTGGCTATCTAGTTTTTTAATTGGTAGGTATCAGTGGGTCAAAATTGGGAATCACATTTCTTATTTGATTGAAGTATTGTCTGGTGTTCCTCAAGGATCCCATTGTGGTCCGCTTCTTTTTAATCTATTTGTAAATGACATTGCATGTTGTATAAAAAAGTCTCAGTTCCTACTATTTGCAGATGATTTAAAAATCTTTAAAATTGTTGAAAGTATATCTGATTGTTTTGATTTACAGACTGATATTAACAACCTAGCATTGTGGTGCAATGTAAATTGTATGAATTTGAATTTAAGGTAAATGTTTTTATATTAAGTTTAATAGGTGCCATACTACTATAGACTATACTTATTGTATCAATTCATTAGATCTTGAATTGGTGACCCAAATAAAGGACCTTGGCGTAATGTTTGATGAAAAACTTACTTTTTCAGAACACATTACAATGATATCATTAAAAGCCAGAAAGTTGTTGGGTTATATACAAAGAATCTCTAAAGGTCTCTCAATAAATTCTTTTAAAATTCTTTACTGCACTCTTGTTCGTTCTAATATGGAATATGCAGCTGTTGTCTGGAACCCTGGAAGCATTCACATTAATAGACTTGAAAAGGTTCAACATAAGTTCCTGAGATGCTCAGCATATAAATTAGAAGTGCGTATAAATAATTACGATTATGATTATGCTAACCTATGTTCCAGATTAGAGATCACAACTTTGCAGAACCGGAGAACTCAATTAGATCTATGCTTCCTATTCAAACTTTTGTCTGGGTCAATATATTCTCCTGATATTTTATTAAAAATTGGTCTTAAAATTAATAGTGCAACCAGAGCTAATGAAACTTTTTTTATTAGACACCATAGACAAAATTACGGCTTTTATAGTCCATCAACATGATTGGTTAGGAGTGCTAACAGTATAGAAATAGACTTGGTTTTTTTTTGGTTCTTAATGACACTGAAAGTACTGTTATTGTCTGCCTTGTTAATCAAATGTTTTACATAATACAATTTTTGATGTTTTTTATTTTGTATTTGTGCATATAACATATATTTTTATATTTTTTATTGTAAAATGGGGTTTTCCCGTAAATAAATAAATAAATGTATCAAATTTAAAGTTAATCAGCAAACTAGAAAAAGTTATTAAGAAAAATAAAAACATATTTTTTTGACACCCTGTTATTTCGCTATTTTTGAGTTTTCAACAAAACGCTATATAAACATTATTTTTTCGAGTAGAATTAAATGTTTAGCTTATCATTTCCGGAGTGGTTCCCAAGTTAATACTTCTTTTTAACTGTGTATAGAAGTCATTAAAATAAAAAAATAATAAAAAAGAAAACAAAACTGACAAGGATTTAGATCTGGTGACCTCAGTAGCCAAGCAAGAAAAAAATTACAGAATTAAAAAATCCAAATCCGGGACTGACATTAGTCGGGAAGTACGGGAGTTTTTAGACTTTCCCAAATAGGAGGCTCGGTCTAAATGGACCAGTTGCGTGGCCATCAAGGTCCCTAGACCTAAATACTTGTGATTTTTTATTTTTTAATGTTAAATTTAATGACTTTTATACATAGTTAAAAAAAAAGTATCAGCTTAAAAAATACCAGGTATATATTGCTAAATCCGCCCCTGTTAACAGGAGTTTCTTATTTCTAGATTTTATACTATGGCCTCCATCCCATGATTACCTTCTTGAAGGGCACAAATATACCATGATAAGGTTCACTAAAAAAATTCCGATATTACTAAGTAATTGGTAATAGCAAATATACAAAAAAATATACAATAATTAAACTATTTTCGAAATTTTTGGCTGTAAAATGCAACTTACCATTGAAAGTACATCCTATTATTATAAGTTCCATCACAATAACCATCAGGACTGCCGAGCTGTACACCAACAAAGTGCTCAGTTTGCGATACCACTGGTCCAATATATCTTACTCTACCGCCCTTAACTCTACCCTCAGAGGTTATCACTTTTACCCAATTGTCTAATTTTAAATCCCTTGAAATTCTTGGCAAGAAGGGCAACCATCCAGGAGGAGGAACATTGTCTCCTGAGGGCTCAGGAGCTGAAGCTCTTCTCAATCCCGTTTTTGACCTTGTTTCACTAAAAAAGATACATGTTAATCAAACTATAATAGACGATGAGGCTTATCCTACAAACAACATTTAGCTTGATTTTGAAAAGGCTTTCGTAAAAAGTTCCTCAGTGCAGAAGCTGTGTGCGTCAATTTGATGCAGAATAAAAAAATATATAAAAATAAACTTAATATAAAAAACCTGAGGCTTTTTGCTAAACTGAGTTAATAAATACACTTAAAAGATATCATAAAATATATCGTTCCATAACTTACCTGTACCTAGAAGAAAACGATGGATCCCCTGTCATAATACAATCAATCGACCTCCTCAAATAATTCTCAGCTTCCTCAACCAAACTGTCAGTGGAATCTCCACTATCGACTGTTCCCCAATCTCCCCGCAATTCTGGTAAAGATCCGTTAGCGAATCTGACTTTTGAAGGAGTGTGCTTCAATACTCCCCTTCTAGATGGAGAAACCGGCGCAGAGCATCTTCTTGAAGGTATGGAGAGAGAATTCAATGGGTACATGCTGCCATAATGCGAATGAGATTGACTGACTTCACTTGGAGAAGCTGTTGTGGCGCTCCATGTGAATTTCTGAGACTAAAAACTGTGTTAATAATTTTCTAGTTAAATAATTTGTTTTATTTGAACGTACAGCATATCCTCCTGGAGAATACAAATCTGTTGTTTTGAGAAATTGTCCATAAGTCGGAGTGACACTAGAGGGTTTCAAAGCAGGAGGAAATAGATGATCTGCAGATCTGGATAATTCGGGAACCATACTCGTGAATCCGATATCTGAAAGCAGAACACGTCGAGCCTCTACGGTTTTTTCTGATAAACGTAGCCGGGATCCAGGCAACGGCAACTTTGAAGGTAAGGTTGTAAAATTGTCACCCAATCTTGACTAGAAATAAAAATAATTCCAATCAAACAAGTTATTATTGGTTAGAATAAAACTTACTTTGTTTGCTAAACTACTTTCTGATCTCCAATACGATCTTGGAAGCGCAGATATATCTGTTTGGGCACCAGAATCTTTTCTAACAGCATTCGACTGGGTCAGTATGGGTCTAGTTTTTCTCCCAGATCCTAAACCTTTGGATAACGCCTCTCTAAAATACCGAGAAAATAATTTTGTCGGTCCGTAAAAAAAATATAGAATGATGCATTTATGTTGTGTTTAAAGCATCCCATTGTGTTTTAAATTTTCGCGTTTTTCATCAAATATGTGAATAATTAGCGAGTGAAAGCAGATATACAACATTTATGTAGTCTTTGGAAATGATAATAAAATTTCTATGTTAAAACTGAAACTACTCTTGACAAAATAATTCATTTAAACAAGAAGAAAAATGTACAGTTGTTCAAAATATATCTAAAATCTTGCCTTGTGAAGCGGGCGGAGAGAATAGCTATACTCAGGCATTTACCATTGGTGTAGTAGAAGCCACAAAATGGACACTTTCAAAAAGGGAGCATCTAGAGACATCTCTGGGCGACGTTATTAACCTTCAGTGATTTGACGAGCTAAGAGGCTGGTTATCCCTAGACACCTGCCAGCAAGAACCCGCAAGTTTTTGACACATTGATTATCTGTAGCACTTTGATGAGCTGGGATTCTGGCTGTCTTTGGACACCTCTCAGCCACAACCAGCAAGTTTTTAACAAGTTAATGACCTGTAGGACTTTGATGAGATGTGAGGCTGGCCGTCATGGATCACCAGCAGATTTCGACCAGTTGAGAGGCAAGTTTTATATGGTATATGGCCCAGAAGGATTCACAATGGGCCCAGTGAGGCCTAAGTGATGTGTAACAACCCACCCCCTCTACCTCTACCTTACAGATACAGACAGATGTCTAACTCCTTTTAACATCTCTTGAATTGTTTAATAAACATACAAAAGAGGAAAGTAGGTACATAATATCTATTTCTTTAGAAGTTTATATAACATTCATGTTCTTTAAAAACATGAACTCCAAGCAAATTGCGGCACAATGTTAATTCAAATTATAATAAATTTACCTGTGTAATAATGGTCGATACTGTAAAGGATTCGGACAAGTATTCCTTCTACCAACTACGTATTCAACATCATGAATTCCACATTTTGAAATATCGGTCTCAATAATTCTTATTCGTTCTTCAAATCTGTCAAAACTTTCATCTTTTTCTATAGATCTATTTTCAAAACTAGAATCTTGTAGTGAGTAATAACTCTTTAAACTCTTTTCCTGATTAATAGAAGTATCTGACTTAGAATCATAAAGTTGGGAATTGTCTCTTTTCATATCAAATGACTGAAAATTTGAATTCTCTTGATTTTCATTTTCAAAATTATCATTAAATACGTCATCTTCTAATTCCCTATCGGACTGATCCATATCGCTAAGTGTTAATTGTAAACGATTAGAACTTTGTGCTCCACTTTCTCCTGGGTCTATAGATACTAACTGTTCTTTGAAATCTGAATCTTTCGTTTCATCTGTAGTAAATATTAGTTCTATATCATCAACCTCTTCTGCTTGATCTAAATCATTTTGACTTTCTGATTGTTGAGAGTCTGTTTGTTCTTCAGGTAAACTATTTTCTGAGGGTTTGCCGGCTTGATTTCTGTCAGTCATTTCTTGACTTTCATTAATATCCAAGTTAAATTCGCGACTAATATGGCTAGATAAATTAGAAAAGCTAATTGTTTTTGAAAAAGAAAATTTATTGGCTTTATCAAATGGTGATTTTAGTATTGTCAAGCTTTCTAATGACCTGGTAATGTTTCTAGGACTTATAGTTTCCGTTTTTACAGATATTCTGGCCTCGATGTTATTAGTTTTTTTGGGGCTTAGTTTGGGAGATACAATAGTTACTTTTTTAACTTTTGGTTCTGGTTCTAATTTCTTTGTATCTTTCGCGTCACAAATTTCTTCTCTCACTGTTGGTTTTTCTGTAATATTAATATCGGATATTTCATCTGAAATTACATTTTATTATAAATTATTTTAAATATTAACTAATATACAGGGTATCGCGAAAATATGCACCGACAAACTTTTACGTCCCATACATTAAAGATTCCTGATATTAAGATATCAATAAACTGAATATTTCATTGAATTCGGTAAAAACGTTTTTAACATATTGATTAAAAATTTATTTTTTTTGTACTTTATCTATGTCCCTAAAAGTTTGTCTGTATATTTACGGTAAGTACACCTCAAGTAACTTTTTGATCCAGTCTTCCAGCTTAATAAAAACAAATATAATTTAAAAATGTGGAGTAATCAACAAAAAATGTTTCTAAAGCATGTCTTTGAAAAAAATCAAAAATATCGGAGCGAATAATTCTTCTTCTTTTTAAGAGTCAAAAAACTTTATTGTCATAAGAAACTCCTCCTTTACAGGCAGATATTGGAAATCCTCTGGATATTAATTATAGAAACTTGACTAATTTACCTAACCTGTGCGGCCTGGGGCCATCACGGGTTGTTTGGTAAAAATATTATGCATTAAAAAAATAATTTATTAATTTCGTAATAAATATAATGCTTTATTTTGATCTTTTTTTTTTCGAACTTTTTTCAATTTCAGACTTTTTTAGTTTTGATTTTGTCATTCGGATTTTTATAGTTCAAACTATTGTTTTCTCCTCATTGAGTTTATTTCCTTAGTTAGGGTCTTCTCTTTAGACGAATTTTGTTTGGCTGAATGACATATACAGTATGTCCCCCTAAGTTGGAATCATATGGAAAACGTTTTTATTGTTAATTTTAGGAAAAAAAAGTTATTCTTCATAAAAAGTTCTGCATTATCTAAAACCTAGAATACAATCATCAAATATAAAAATTTTTCAGTGGTATACTAGGTTTATCAAAAAATATGAGTTTTACTCAAGAGTAAAGTACCTTTATTCTTTATACGACTGATAAAATTTGATATCTGATGGTTGTATTTTAGGTTTTAGACCATGTTCGACTTTTTATAAAGAATAACTTTTTTCCCAATATTAATAATAAAAAAGATTTTCATATGGCGCCAATTTACGAAGACAGTTGGTGGCATAGGAAAGCTTTTGTATTACTAATTTTAGAAAAAAAAGTTGTTCTCTATAAAAAGTCTAAAACCTAAAATACAACCATCAAATATCAAATTTTATCAGTGGTATAAAGAATAAAGGTATTTCACTCTTGAGTAAAAACTCGTATTTTTTGACAAACCTCGTATACCACTGAAAAAATTTGATATTTGATGACTGTATTCTACGTTTTAGATAATGCAGAACTTTTTATGAAGAATAACTTTTTTTCCCTAAAATTAATAATAAAAAAGTTTTCCATATGATTTCAACTTAGGGGGACATACTGTATATGATGCCAAAAAAGTTGTTTTCAAAATTTTGTCATTTGAAATTTTCTAGCTCGATCTTTTGTTATTCGAACTTATTTCACTAACTCGCTTGATACTATGATTAAGAAAAGAAACTATTTTAAGTAGTTTTTGTTTCCTGTTTCTACTATATCGATTTATATTTTCAATATACAGTGTTGGCAAGATTAAAATCTTCGGTCTTGTTTTGCTTGTGTTGTAGTGAATAGTAAAATGGTGTTCGCATGTGCAGGAAAGGAAATTAAAACCATGAAAAATGACCTTTATAGAGCACATTTTTAAGACGGCAGAAACAGTAGATAAGTCAATGACGGCGCTTGCAAAAATTAAGCCCAATGTAGGAGGTCCAAGGGCCAATAAACGAGAAGAAATATGGAGCGTCGTACATTCAATTCTGCTTTACGCAGTACCAGTCTGGAAGAGGCCATAGTTAAATATAACTGCTATTTATCCCTACTACAAACAGTTCAAAGAGCAGTATCTGTAAGAGTGTAGTGCATATCGCACGATTTCAAGAGAAGCGGCACTGGTTATAGCATGGATAATTCCAATATAGGAAATAGCTGAAACACGAGTCAGACTATACAACACCCCCAAAGTCGAAAGAAATACAAGATAACAAAGAAAACGGACTATCTAAAGATGGAAGCAAACCGAAAGAAGCTATTGGACCAAAAAACTTATCCCAGACATATAAACTTGGTATGAAAGAAAACACGGGGAAGTAGGATACTACTTTTCTCAGTTTCTTAGTGGACATGGTTGCGTCAACCAATATTTATATGTCATCGGCACGGCGCCCTCGCTGTACACGCCATTTTCAGTTGTGACAGGTGCTGGAAGAGCAAGCAATCATGGACATCAAAATATGGGTCGAAATCAGGGGCGGCTTGTGACCAAAATTTTGGGGGTTCACAGTAGCAGAATATAGATATATCTGTACTGATACCTATACTCTGTCACTGTGAACCCTCCCACGAGCCGCCACTGGTCGAAATAGTAAAAAACATCATAGAGGGAATGACTAAGACAAGAACTGGCTAACTACAATAGAATGTATAGTAACTATCATGAGAACAATAGAAAAGGATGAAAAGGGCGAAAAATCAAGAAATATTTAATAGTAAGCATCCGCCTCGAAGTAATGCGAAAGTGGTTCCGGGGCGTGACTGCGGTGTAAAGGGAGGTTTTTCAGTGTTACAAGTCCCACACTACCTGACACACGGGTGTTTTGGTGTATTTTGAAGATTTTTCCTCCCGCGCAAAAAAGTTACCGATTACTAATTACCATAGTTACCAGTTATACTAGTTACCAGTTATACTAGTTACCAGTTATACTAGTTACCAGTTATACTAGTTACCTGTTATACTAGTTACCAGTTATACTAGTTACTAGTTACCAGTTATACTAGTTACCAGTTACTAGTTACTAGTTGCTAGTTACCAGTTACTATAGTTACCAGCTACTATAACTGTGAATGTCATCATTGATAAGGGGTGATATGAATAATGCAAAGCATGTACTTCATGCTAATAATTCTGAAGTAAATACTTCAATCTGTATGAATAAAAATTAAAGGTACTTTTATATGTACAATTTGAAGTGAGTACAAACTCAATTTTCTTATGAATAAAAATTAATTTGGGCTCAAAAGTCTGAGTTCCTACTCCATATAAGTGGAATCTCTTTCGAGGGAGGCTCGATTACAGTTTGGCCATAAAGAAGTGATCGCCTGAGTTTTTGAATCTGCGAGCAAAGAAATATTATAAACCAAGAAGAACGACTTGCGACGATAAGTATCTGTAAAGTATCGTATGACAAAACCTAGAATGTTGAACGATTTTTTTTTTAGCGAAAAGTTGACTGAAAGAAGAAGCGGTGTGATATGTAAAGTTGACAATTAAAAATATTCTTGAGGTACCCAGGTTTTTAATCTGGAGTAAGAGATTTGGGAGCTCACCATCTTCCGTTTCAAAATTGTGTCGCAGATTATGAATAAAACTATTGAAAAAACTAGCTCCTAAATAAAATTTCCTCAGAGTGCTGCAGATATACATATAGCCAAAGAAAAGTGGCAAAAAAGATATAATTTTTCCTATGCTGTAGAAGTAATTGATTGTCCTCCCATAAGTATAAAGAAGATCCATATTCATGAGAACAATACATAAATAGAAAACCATATTCATGGGGATCAATACATAAATAGAAAAGAGTATCCTAGTATTAATGTATAAGTCACATACAATTCAAATTAATGGTTTACAAGCATAGAGGCCTCATGGTTCGGATCTATTTATGATGCCAGAATGTGGTACAATTCACAAATTTACAAGATATTTCCGAATTTTTTAACAGTCAAGCTTTACTAGGCGTAGCCAGTAAATAGGAGCATTTACTCGCTAAAACTGGGACACATTATATTCAAATAGATTGGAGCATAAACCCCTACTTTATGCTCATGCTCTTGAGTATATGCTCAGAGTATAAACTTAATTTTATTTATATCACCCAATCTTTCTTTTTTTCTTGCAATTGCGCCATTTAATATCCACTCCAACACAAGCAAAGCAGGACTGACGGTTTCATCTTGCCAGTATATACTCTACATACATGCGTAGTATTCCTCATATTTAATTACATTGCATTCCTAAACTATAACGATTGGAATAAAGACATTATTTTAACTCACATTAAAAGTATTCGAAAATAGTATCCAGATACTTGTATCCGAATACATTTTTAGTGAATGTATCTTTACTTTTTTAAAAGTATCCCGGTACATTTAAGTATCCATATATTTGGTACTGGGATACTTTTTTCCTGTATCCGACCCAACTCTACAGTGACGCAATAAGTAAAACAGCCTATCAATTCGATTGATTTTCAGACTTAATATATGTTTTCAATATTAAATCGTCACAAAAAAAAGTGTATTATGCACAAGAAAAAACATTAGATTTTATATCTCGATGTTTTGTCTAAACACAACCTCAAGCTAAAATCTAATAGATTTTTCCTTTGTATGATGAATAACTATACATAGGACATGCACAAATAACACTTTCATACATAAATAAATGTTTATTACAACTCTAAATAGTTAAATAATGTTTAATCACTTGTTTAAATTATTTTGTATTGATTGTATTATTAAAATTGATTTTTGTTTTTTTATTGTTTGAAGTATAGTATAGTATAGTATAGTGGGTGACATATTAGCAACCCACTATTCGTTTTGTACACTTGTAGCAGAAACTATAATGCTATTTTATAAAACTATTACAATGAAAAGATCGTATAAATTAAAGTACTTACTGAATTTTTCTTAAATATCAAAATAGATATATAAAAAAAGTTCTAAATTGACCAAAATTAAAAATATTACATTTTAAGGAACACAAAACCATAAATATCTGATTATATATATATTTGTATCCTAGTCCCTCATTTGACTGCAAAAAGTAGCATGTCATGTTTTTTGCTTGCTCTTTGTATTTGGGCACAGGAGGGGGGTGAACAACATATGTACTATGTCTAGGGTTGCCAGGCGTTCCACTTTAGGTGTAATTGTCTCGCTTTTTCACTTGCTGGCATGCATCACCCCAAAGTACAAAAATGTCCCACTTTTTACCTAAATGACAGGTTTTTACTCAAATGCCACGTTTTTTAAAATCAAATTTATAAATACATTTTTGAAGAGATAAGACCTTGCTCCTCAGAAAAAGGGCCTGGTTTATAAAAATATAAAGGAACTTTTTTTTAGATCTCCACAAAAAAAGGACCTGATTTTATACAAAATGCCTGTATTTTAATCTGGTTCCCTGTTGTCACTGTTATTTCACTTTCGTAAATCTGGCAACCCTAACTATGACCGGTGGTGAAAGCTTGCTTATCGATGGATTTTTATTTGTTGCTGGCAATAAAATAATGTGGTTCTAGACGTTTATAACAAAAGAAAAATCCCTTTGCAAGCATTTTTTGTCATTCGGGTTTGCTAATTTGTGTATTTTTTGGGATTTCCCTACATCAGAATGAGCAAAACTGGAGGACAGATTTTTTTTTTATTGTTATAGACGTCTAGAAGCAAATTATTTCATTGCCAGCAAAAACGAAAAAATCCATCCATATAAATAATATGCAACATTATTTTGAATTTGAAAACTCCCACCACTAGTACATAGTACCTAGTACATGTTGTTCATCCCCCTCCCCTGTACCCAACTACAAATAGCAAGTAAAAAAACACCACATGTCACTTTTTGCAGTCAGGTAAGAGACTGAGTTTTTTACAAAGTTTAGTTTAAACTGAATAAAAAATTGTATTACTATGTCTAGATTTTCTTGTAGGGTGCATGAACTTAATAAGAAAACATACCCTTTATATCATCATTATCTAGAGAATCATTTGTATGAATATTAGTATATTCAGTATCTTGTGCCTTCAATAATTCTTTCGGATCAAACTTTAACAATTTTTGTTTCAAAATATGATTTTCTATAGATAAAATCTTAAAAGCCTCTTCAACAGATTCAATAGGGCATGCTTTACTCTTCAATTTCAAAATCTCCAATTTACTTTCTTCAAGGGCAGTTCTAAGGGCAACAACAGTTTGGTGTAAAGCCCTTACAGTTTCCAGACTTGGCCTCCTTTGGCTCTCCCCTCCATATTCCATTTTAAACTGTCCTTATCCATGCTGCTATTATTATGCACTTTTAATTGTTCCTATTGTTCTACATATTTATAAAATTACGTATGACAATTTTTATGGGGTCCTAAAACGAATGAAATTATAAGCGCAAAAACGTAAATTATAAAACAATTATTACTGATAAAACACTATTTAGAAATCCTTAATGCATGGCAACGAAATAAACAAGACAAAATTACTACTGATAAACCACTTAATTTCCTCACAAGTACCCTAAAATTTCTATTTCAAAACATTAGAATCAATAATGTAATTTTGTACAACCCCGGGAATTACTAAACAATCACAGACTCGCGGATTTTTAAAGCTGAAGTAAACCAATGGATCAATTTCTAAATAGTTTGTCGTTACTTATTTCGTTTATACGTCTGTAAAATGTGTTGCATACGTTTACAAACGAAACTCACAACCACGCTAATTTTGCATCAGGTTATTAAAAACGACTTAACCAATGATAGCCCTCGAATCGGTCGTGTTAAAGGCTATTGAAAGTGGCGCAATTAGTAAATTAAAAAGAACGTTGAATGTAAGAGTTCTGCTGTACATAAAAAAATTAATATTTCTGGTTCCGATTATTTTAAAATGATCTTCAATGCTAGGCAACACATATTACACCTTCAAAAGAAATTTGAGTTTGAATCACTGAACTATATCAAGGTCGGTGGTTTGAATTTGAATCCTATAAATAATTCAAAAATTAATATTTTAGTAAGCAAATCAGTATGGCAGGGCGTAAAATGTTTTTCAAATTAAAATAGCTTTTGAATGGTAAAATAGTACCTACCTATATTTTTTAATAAGTAAAAGTAATAATTTTGAGGAGTTTGTACCCTATAGTTAAATTTGAAGTCTGTGTAGGTCTTTGAGGTTTATAGATTTGCCTGTATACAGGTACAAAAGATACGCGAGTCCAGCAATTAATAACATTTGAGTCAACATTTCTTTTACTTTGAATAAAATGTTCCTTTTTTCTTTCGCCCCTCAATTAGAACAAATAAGTCGATTTAAAAATCATAATTATGACTTTACTCAGGAATTATTCAAAATTGTTCTCTTTGTCTTTATCCCTTATTTTCATTTGTTAGTGCAACCAGAAAACTCCAGTCGATTTTTTTTAATCAATATTCTAAAGATAAAAATTTGCTACAAAATAATACTACAGTTAATTAAATTCTTGTATTTTCAAACACCTCTTACAAAAATTCTTCACGACATAAAATTCAAATAAAAAGTAGAATTATAACTTAAAGAACATAATATTGGTACATAATTGACAAACCAAAAATACAAAAAAATATATCATAACATCTTGGACAGTTCGCAAAAAGTAGCGAACAAAGAAATTTAATTGCCTGGAATAGGGCCTGTTGGATAAAAGTATAACAGATGATATTAAACTACTACTGAAATGAACATTGGGTGAAAAAATATATTCGTATATTTCATACCCTATCAAAGGCAGAAAGATCTTATTTAAATAAAGAAAATCTTTTTCTATTTGAAAAATATTGTAAAGGGCTAAAAGTAAGTTCATTAATATAGGAATAATCATAATGAAGAAATGTCTAGGAGTGCTTTCTCGTGTGGCAGGTATCTGAGATATTGAATCATCATCTAAAGCTATCCTCGGATTTTGAAAAATTGTTTCAAGATTTTTGTCCATTGAATGAGATTCATGTAGGTGATTATCTCCATTGCCTTCAATAAAATTATCATAATTTTCTAATTTAGGTAAGGCATTCTCCTGAATATTAAACTCATTAGTGGATGCATTGAAATTTATACCTAAAACATGAAAATAAAGCAGAATTATTAAATATTCAACTCATTAAAAATGAATTAGTATTAACCATCAAGTTCAGTCCTAATAACTCTACTTTCTACACTACTGATTTTTTTCAATCTATTTTCAGAGTTTTCAAGAATCTTTCTTCTTCTAGCTGCCCTCCTTGCTTCTGCATCTGCCATACTCATAATTTATTATTTATTCTCACTTTAAAAATATAAAAGTATAAACTATAAATTCATCTCATGATGTTTAAATAAATTAACAAAATGATTGTGACTTGTGACAAAATGTTAGGTTAAATTTTCAATGTTTTGAATTTGTCTTCGTCAATTGACAGTTTTGCCATAGAGCATAGAACATCCATAGAACCAGAGTCAACGCGGTCAAATAAATTTGGTAGTGGCTCTGTTACATGAGTAACGTGTGTCCTTTTATTCAACTGTTGCAGCAACGTTGGAATTGGTGCGGTATTTTGACATACTTCGATATTTTCCTGTCTTTTTGTTTTATCAATCTATCAATGATGAACTAACATGTCTTTTTATCCAAAGTTGCTGCAATTGATGCAACACCAATCCATCCGTTTCAATTTATGGTTTTTCCGATTAGATGTGACAGCTGAATTGCGAGAATTAAGGATTTAATTAAATATTTAAATGTTCTGTGTGGGAAAAACCGAAAAAATGGGCTTTTAGAAATTCATACTTTCAAATTAAGGTATTTTGGTAAATTCAATTAAAATTATAAACACAAATTTTAATCCAAACTGTCACTGTTATTTCTTTCAACAATAAAACGAATTCAACACAAGGCGTTCAAGGTCGCAAGGGTGTGACGTCACGGAATGAAAAATCGAACTGACAGAAAATATTCTGCTGCGGTTCATACATTACATTTTTAATAAATCTATTATTTTTTTAATATTTAGTGGTGTTTATGTTTTTATTTTTGGTCTATATACCTGTGTTGTAGTTTTTATAAAAATCGGTAATTTGATTTTTTGAAAGACAAGCTACAATTTGAATTATAAAGAAAAATATTATTGTGTGAATGGTTTATTGTAAACATTTCGAGCTAAAGTCGGATCACAGTTTGTTTATATTTCGAAATATTTTGAAATTTTGGCTAGCCTGGAGCGTGTCGTAGTGTTTCTGTTGGCAAACAATTTTTACTTTTTACACACAAAAATCGTTAGAAGAAATAAAGGGACTGAGCCAAAACTGAAATTAAAGGCTAATGGTAAGATTTTAGAGTAGTTGTACTGCAAATATCATTCATTATTATTAAATTAATTGCAGCTTTGTCCACCCTACATTTAAAAGCATATGAGATGGTTTCTTACAAACATTAGAAAAACCAAAAACAAAAAAAGTCGAAGGGCTTTACTAAAAGTAAAGTAGTAAAAAGTACATAGGTACAAATCATTTTAAAGATGAAAACAAAGGCCTTTTTGAGTTGAGAAGAAATTTGTAAAGCATTCACGATAAGATGTTTGAGTAAAAGGTGCTATCTTTACCTCAGAAATAGTCCAAAGACTCTAAAGTATCCCTTTCTGGGGATTTAAAACTTGACGAAAAAATAAATAAAAAATAAATCTATGATATGGTCTTTTGGACGATTTATTTAAATACTCCAAGTATATGTAATGTTTCAATCTCCTGTGTATTGTATGTATATAAATAATTGATAAAACTGTTTTTCTATAATTTATATTTATGGATTATTATAATAAAACTGGGTGGTTGTTGTTTATAATTGTTTTTTTTAAGTAAATTATACTGTTCATACATCAAATAACTAGAAACTGACAAAATATATTTTTTATTTCAGATATAAATATACTTTGTATGTTTCTTCTGAAGTCCAACAGGCCCTTGTGTTCTGTTATAAAATTATTTGTAACCACTTTTGACTAAAAACTTCATGTAACAAACCCTTTTTTCAATAATGTAGGTTCTTTTAGTAAAGCTTTTTGACGTTTCTTTCTCTTCGATGTGTTTAATGCTTGTAAGAAACCCTCTCGTCTGCTTTTAAATGTAGGGTGGACAAAACTACAATTTATTTATTAATATTTGCAGAATATTGATCTAAAATCTTACCATTAACCTTTAATTTCAGTTTAGGCTCAGTGCCATTTTTGTGTGTAAAAAGTAAAAATTGTTTGCCAACAGCAACCAGCAACACTACGGCTCTGCGCTCGCTCCAGACTTGCCAAAATTTCAAAATATTTCGGGATATAAACAAAGTGTAATCCTAATTCAGCTCGAAGGCCGTACCCTAACCCAAAATCTTTAAAATAAACCATTCACACAATTAATATTTCTCTTTATAATTCAAATAAAAAGTAATTCATTTGAAATTTGATGGAAATCATTACATGAGTTTTCCTTGCTGTTTTATAGCGTGTCTTTCAAAAAATCGAACTACCGATATTATAAAAACTAACACCAGAACAAAGTTAAAAAATAAAAATATAAACACCACTAAATAACAATAAAATATTAGATAAGTAGAATATTTTCTGTCGACTCACTTTTTCATTCCGTGACGTCACTGCGTCCTTAGCAACCATGAATATTTATACATCATTACAAATTTTTCAAATGTAATATTTCCGAAATGTGTTTGTGCTGAATGGGAAGTAGAACATCCGTCAGAATTAAAAGATACAAATTTACAAATTAATTTGCCAAAATTTAATGTACTTGAAAAACTTTCCAGTAAATTAACTTTTAAATTTGGCTAAAAACAATCGTCTACGGAACTTCAACAATTAAACCACTAACCTGCTTCGCCTTATTTTTTTGTAATTTGTATAGTTTATATCGCGCAAAAGCCAACCATGTGCTTTGTTTACTCTTTACCCGCTGTATGAAGTCTAGCAATATATAGAAACTACCGGATGGATCCCTTTGAGGCGTATTAGTCATAGAAAGGCAGTTTTCGAAAGTTCTGGAAAGCTTAGAGAGTTCTAGTACAGAGTTGGCTTTATATAAATAGCGCGAGTTGTCGACGGACGGCAGATTCAAATAAAGTGTTGGACAGAAAAGCTAAATTGTAATTAGAAATTGTGAGTTATAATAGTGCCTAAGTATTATATAAATTAATTAGTACGTCATAAATAAATTGTAAATAGTGTGTTTTAAATAAATAAACTATAAATAAATTAAACAAACGTTACATTGGTGTTAGAAGTAGAATTATAAAAAATAGTGGACAAAAATGGCTAAAAAACTGTGTGATTTAAAAGTGGCTGAATTGCATCGAAAATTAGAAGATCGTAATCTGCATTGGGATTCTCATCTATCAGTTCGGCACGTGTTGATACAACTATCTTCATTCCACAGAATGCGATTCGTATGTAATGTCTTTCTCTATTCAATTCATTACGCGTTAAGTACGCAGATAAGAATCCCTGTCCTGGAGACGACAAGGAAGAAAGCAGAGCTGACAGAACGGCTTGAAGAAGCAATGTAAAAAGAAGGTTAGGTTCCGGAAAAGTTTCTATTTTCGGATGATGCATCTTCTATAATTTCTTCGTTAGAAAGTCAAATGTTAACTCTGATATTACTTTCTTAGAAACCAAAGTTTCATCTGATATGTCTTCAAATAAAACTGAAGGAGCTTTGATTGGAAATGAGTTGGACACAACTGCTAAAGAATTCACAATACGAAGAACGTCGGTTGTCATCGATAAGTGGATCCCTGTCAAACTTAGGGAAGAACAAGAGAACGATCCCGTTTTAAAGAAGATAAGACAATGGAAAGAGGAAAATTTTCGACCTACTTGGCAAGAAGTATCGAAACTCTCTCCATTAGTTAAATTATATTGGGTTCAGTGGGACTCTTTTATTCTAGAAGAAGGTTTATTAAATCGAATACTAGATAATGATGATGGATCCGAAAACAGAAGACAGTTGGTCATTCCAAAGACTTGAGTAGCCGAAGTACTTCGTCAGTTACACGACAGTCCATCAGAAGGACATCTCGGTGTTAAGAAAACCCTTCAGAAAGTTCGTGAAAGGTTTTATTGGATGAAAAGTTCCAATGATGTAAAGGGCTGGTGTAAGAAATGTACCAGCTGTGCTATAAGTAACGAAAAATGAAGGCTCACATGAAGCAATACAACATTGGTAGTCAATTTCAGAGGATCGCCCTAGATATTGCTGGACCATTCCCCGTGAGCGAGGATGGTAATAAATACATTTTGGTGGTTATGGATTATTTTACATAGTGGGTGGAAGTCTACGCCATTCCAAATCATGAGGCTGCAACTGTTAAGGATGTGTTAATAAAAGAATTCATCAGCAGATTTGGGATGCCTTTGGAGATCCACAGTGACCAAGGCAGAAATTTTGAAAGCCAGCTTTTAAGTCAATAATTTTATATTTGAAGATTGACAGATTGAAAATGTGTTTATATAATTTAAATGAAGCTATTTAAAAAAAATGGTAATTATTCTCACCAAAACTGACTAGCTCCACTATCTCGAGTTTGACATATGACGTAAAAGTGTAATGCAAAGGTGCGGGCACTTTAGCATCGTCATAGCAGCTCTTCTCTATTCTATCTCAATGATCCAGAGTAATAAAATGGCATCCGCCAAGTTTGTTTATTTTATGCTTTTCATTCATTTTTAAGCAATTAATGATAATAAAATTATCAAACAAGCAATATTTTCCAGTGGCGTATCATACATTTCTAAATATTAACTTTTATCAAATACTATTTACTGATGAATCTACTTTCCATTCCATTTTCATTATTACAGCATCGAAAACAAACATGAATTTAGAACTGTAGATTGACAAATAAATCGATTGTCATTAAACCTTTATGGTGGAATGATAGGAAGACAGTTGGTGAGGCCCTATTTTTTTTGATGGCCATTTAAATGGAAGATTTTTTTTTTATTTTTGAGGAAATATTTCTGGAACATTATTTTGGATATTAGACGAAAAATGTGGCTGCAGCTAGATGGTTCTCCCGCCCATTTTTCGCATAATGTCAGGACATACTTAAACCAAAAAATTGCTGAAAAATGGATAGGAAGAAGAGACCCTACTAATTGTCCCGCTACATCACCCGACTAACCACCCTTGATTTTTTCTTATGGGGACATGTTAATTAATAATGTACTTTATCAAATTCAGCTGACCACCGCCGAAGATATGAAAACACGTATTCGTGATGCGTTTATTATTATTAATTTAGTAATTTTAAGTAAAGTAAAAAAAAATTGAAAAGCGAGTCAGAATATGCATTGACAATAATAGACATCATTTTGAACAATTATTGTAAATTTCAAATTTATTTACAAATTTTGGAATAAATATGTTTATTTAATGGCTTTGTTAAAATAGTAGATATGGGTATAGGGAACCTTATATAACTTTTAACGTAAATAAAATTTCCTTCATATTGGTACCATGAAATACAGGATGTTCCATTTAAATTAAAGCAGTAAACATTTTATTGTAATAAAACTTCAAATTTCAAACATCCCGTACATTTTTTTAATATCATAATGATTCTATAAAAAGTTACATTTTGTAAGGAACTGGCAAAAATTCGTTAATTAATTATTTTGTAATCAAAAGTAATTAATTAATTTCGACAGCACTTCATTTTCAAAAAATGCCAAATAAATCGGAAATTATCATAGATGGGAATAGAAAATCTTTATTAAATTAAGAATATTTTTAATAGGAACTTAAAATTAAAAGAAAATTTAGTGTGTCCCATTTTAAAAATATAACTTTACGTTGGTATTCTGGTTTGAGATACCTGTATAGGTAGGTATATGAAACTAATTTGAAAGGAATTTTTAATATCGTTTTTAGTTTACCCACCAGACTCTTGTGCAACATGATGATGGCTATATCGCACGAAGACGAAGTTTGAGCAGGACGTCGTAGGCGGAGTGCTCAATCGTCGGAGTTCGATACGGACAATCCACTTGTAAAGTATATTTTTTTCCATGACACTAACGAAAATAAAAAAAATATTTTAGATTATTAAGGTAAAGTAAATAATTTAATAATAATTTATGACTTTTACTAATTTATATAATAAAATAAACTTGAAAAAACAATTATCCGAGAATTGAACCTGGGATCTCTGCATGAAATCCAAACGCCCTATTATCTGCTCCATCGCCACGCATAAGATTTTAGTTTTAATACTCGTAATTAAATTTATTTTACATAGCTTTAATAAAATTTATGGTTTATTTGTCAATTTACACGAAATAAAAATAGAAATGCTATTATTTATCGATTTTACACAAGAATAACTCATTTTAATGTATATTTAATCTCAATAACTAAAAAATATACTGATAATTAGTTTGACAGAATTGTCACTTATTTGCAATTTAAAAAGATAATAGTAGCCGGCTTACCAAAATAGGAACTGTGATTTGTGGATTTCATTTTTTTCAGTGTTCCTACTAGGTAGAATGGATATGAAATATATTCGTTGAGTTGAATGCAAGGGCATACTTTGTCGTTTTGTAGTCTGTGCCTTCTGTGCGTAGAGTAGCTAATATCCATGTTGGTGTAGAAAAATACAGTGTATCGAAAAACATCTGCACCATAACCATAAATATGGAAAACTTTTTATTGTTGATTTCTCAGAAAGTTGTTATTTAAAAAAAAATACTTGTGGCACTCGGGACTGCCGCGGTAAAGCTATTGCATAGCATTTTTTATCAACTTATGCAATTTTAATTATTTATTTATTTTATTTATGCAGTATTTTTTTTCTTTGATATTAATTAAAGTTTTTTCTTTGACATTAATTCAAGTTACACTTTTTGAGCGTGGTGACCGATAAGAAAACAATTTTTTTTCTTTTATTGAATAAATATTGTTTAAATTATTTTTATTATCTTACAATACATGTAGGTTATTCAGGAATTTTTATCATTGAAACTATATGTTTATGGTAACTGAAATAAGAAACATAAGTTTAAGACTTGATATCCTCTAAATATCTGGAAAATACCGCGTCAATGGTGGTCCAATATTTTGTTGTGGATTCTTGTGGATCATTATTCATTTTCAAATTCAATTTTTCCGAAATTGTGTCTAAGAGATAGAATCAGTTAGCAGCTAGTCTACACGCATACGTCTAGTCGCACGCACAAAAACACCGTGCCGAAGTCTGCCGAACTGTAACGACGTTAGACGATGACGGCTTTCAACGCCGCACCGCTGAGCCGATTTTCGATTTTTCGATTTTCTTTTATTGAATAAATTAGAAGTTAATATTGTTTAACGCCGCACCGCTGTGCTGGTCGGAGTGGGGGGTGTTAGGTTTTTTTTCGTTACGGAATTTCTTGATTCGGTCGCCGCACTCAAAGCCCGCGATAAAAGCTATGCAATAGCTTAAAAGAAAAATTTTACTTGAAAAACTTGTTTAATGACTATATTTGTTAGCAAATATGAAATTACAGCAACTTAAATATTTTTTTAATGTTTCTTTGTTTTACCGCAACAAGAGAGATACACTTTTAAATATACAATATGTTAACTTTTCAAACCTTAGTCCAAAAAACGGTATAGAAAATCCAATGCTATTGACACATCTATCAAATAGACAGAAATAGAGCATACTTGCCATCCCACTACCGGTAGAGGTGTAACCATGTGTCCAATCACGGCAGGCAGATAGGCGAGTTGAGAACTACTCTTCATTATTTTCCTCACGTCCAAATGAGAGAGGGGGGGGGGTATTTGCTGAATTCCAAACGTGGGTTGATTTTTTTTTAGATTTCAAAGGTAAAAGGTATTAACTACTAGATAGGATTGTTAGTCTACGGGGAGGGGGACAATTGCCTCCCTTGAATCCGCCGGTGGACCTTCGTTCGATCATGTATTATCCATTCAACCATGAATAATACCCATGATCTAAGTATTATGCTACATATGGCCGAATGATGAGATAAATTAGTTATCGAAAGTATACGGAGTGAAGAAAATGAATACAGGGTATTCAGGGTAATAGTAATAATAGTATAGTGAACTATCATCGACGAGAGAATCCATTAATTTCAATTCTCGAAAAATGAAGAAATGTGAATAAGTATCCGTTTGAAGAATTTTAAATAAGGTAAGTATTTAATGTAATGATAAGATAATTCGAATTAAAAATAATCAATAATCTGATTTTTCAAATAATCGCCATCAACCGATTATGACAGTATAATTCGAATTATTTGGACGAATGATGGTTATTCCATCATTCTCCAGAACTGATTACCACCGCCAATGTTTTAGGATAAATCGTCGCGTCAACTTAGGCACTATTATAACTCACAATTCTAATTTATTTATTACAATTTATCTTTACTATACAACACTTTTATTGAAACTTAACTTCTACCGACAATTTCGCGCTGTTTATACAAAAATGTATCGCTCTAGGAAGAACCAACTCTAACTAGAAGTTCAGTCTAGAAGTTCAGTCTAGAAGTTCAGTCTAGAAGTTCAGTCTACAAGTTCAGTCTAGAAGTTCAGTCTAGAAGTTCAGTCTAGAAGTTCAGTCTAGAAGTTCAGTCTAGAAGTTCAGTCTAGAAGTTCAGTCTAGAAGTTCAGTCTAGAAGTTCAGTCTAGAAGTTCAGTCTAGAAATTCAGTCTAGAAGTTCAGGAACAACATTCGATTCAGTTTCTCGAGTCTCGAGACAGGTCTCGAGACAGGTCTCGATGTGGCCAGCGCTAGACTTCCTGTTGCGGGTACGGTAGTAAACAAAGAACAGAGTCGGGTTCAGGCGATTTCACGACACTATTTAGGGGTGGTTCAACCATTGCTGCAAGTTTTAACTCCGATTTTCGTAATCAGCGCCTCAAAAAAAAAGAGATGAGTTAGGTTTGCAAAACAACAAGTACAGTCGAAAAACACCCCTATGTAGGGATGTTTTTTGCAATTTTAGGGGTGTTCCAACCATTGCTGCCAGTTTTAACCCTCATTTTCGTAATCAGCGCCCCAAAATACGTAGGGGACAAGTGGTCTCGTCAAGTGCGGCGTTTCTCGACCTTTTACTGTTATTTTAAATGGACTAATACTACATATATTAGTATTGTTGTACATTATTGAATAGAAATTTAGGTTAATTAAATTAGTCTACTTAAGAATGTCAAATTTTTATTAAAAGACTTTCTAAAAACATATAATCGTCCATGTCATTCATTATGGATATATATTGCAACATGATTGCAACAAAACACGAAATTCTGGAAGTCGTCCGACGTGGTTTGACGTTTACCCCCACTTTACCTACCAAAAGCCTTTCCATCCTTTCCATATTCTGCCCTTGCTGTACCTGAAGATGGCTGAGTAGACATTCCCTTTTTCATAAAATCCCACCAAAAGGGAAACGTGATGTTTTGTAAAATTTAAAATAGTTGTAAAATGTAAATAACTTTGAGTTTATCAGCAGTGAGTGTTTATTAATCTGTTGTTTGAATTTAGACTGGTATTTTGGTAAAGTGTGTGATTGGCGAATTTTAGAAGTTTATATTTTACTATGATTATAATATATAGTTACTGAATTGTTTTATGAAAAAAATCTCCAAACCAAACCATTACCTATTTGTTGTGAATTTAAACGTGAGTTAATCGAATTATGTTGTATTCTATTTATTTATACCTTAGGTAAGTGCAATAGGTAATAGGTATCCTAATTATTTTAGTAAACTCAAGGGGTTCATAAAAAAGGCAGCCATGACTAATGAGATGCGGAGAGAGGATAAATGTGATAATACTTTGACTGAGGACAAATCAGATGTAAATCCGAAGGAAAAAATCAACTACAGAAGGGTTAGTAAAAGTAGCTATATATAGGGTTAAAATATTAAAACTTACAATGTCTATATCTGATAGACTAAAGAAGATATCAGAAAAGTAAAACCTAATAAAAAATATATTTTGTACTCCTATAATAGAAATGTTTAAAATATTCAAACAACAGTTTAACTAAATTTTCAAATATTATGTACTATTGAACCACCCTGTATAGGGTACAACTTGTATCCAGGATGAATGACATTTGTATGGAAAAGCAGTTTTTACTAGCATTCCCAAATGACAATTAGGCATTCCAACGACCTGTCAAACAATAGGTGCCAGTGGGAAATTCTTGTATATTTAAGGGGGTAGCGACATAGTCTTGCAACTTGGACGATATTTTTATTCTAAATAGTACTCGCCAAGCCTGCCAATTTATGAAGAAATGTATAGGTGGGTTTTTTAAATATTACTTTTATTGTGTTTGACATAAAATATTTAAATGTAATCCATTATTCATGATTTTACATAAAGTAGATAGAATACACCATATGTCGCCACCCTTAGATATACCAAACCTGCCCACTGGTAATTCATTTGTTTGGAATGCCTAATGAGTATAAAGGGGGGTTGCTATTTTTGTTGTTGTTTTTGTGATACCTAGGTGGCACATAGAGGTTCTGTATTTTGTCATTTAAGTTCTCCCTTCCTAGGTATCCTAGAATCGGTTTTAAGCAATTTCTGATATCTTTAGTTCATGAGATTTTGCCATTCTGTTTTTAAATTGTCACCCCTTATAATAAAATAATTAGAAAGCATATTCTTTTAGAAAGATATCTAAGTACACATTTTTAGAAAAAAAGTCCAATTCTACAAGGTATGAAATAAAGTTATGGCATAACCTCACTGATGAATCTGATGGAATGGTGATTGAGAGAGTTTTCAGATTAATAAAAAATAGTTGACAAGCAACGAAAAATATATTATAAAAAAATATCTCTACAGAGGATCTACTAAGTCGAAGTTTTTTTAACCACACCACAGCTACTATAAAATTTTGGTTTTTCATATATTTTTATCTTATTTTTATTATTTGGACATCATCTTCCTCTGATGAAGAACTTGATAATTGTAAACTTCTTGATTGATTGATTTGATTAAAATAAATTCCTTTATAATTCAAAGAAATAAAAAACCTCTAACTTCGCATTAGTGACAGAAAACAAAAAGGTGGGGTATCCATTCACATCCATCGCATTCATCTGTGTTTAATCTTGAATGTTGATTTTTTTCAATGATGAAAATACAAATGGTTAGATGAAAGTTCAGTTAAACATAGATAAATTTTAAAAAATGCCTTGATGCAATCTCTTATTCAATCCTTGGATCCATCGATGATATTAAAAACTTGCACAACAATGTGCACAAGATTGGTTAATTGATATTAAACTAGAAACTAGGTACCTACCATATCGACGGTGTTTTGACAGAGGTCATAAGCAGCTGGAACTTGTTAATGCACTAGATGCACAAAACATGTTTTAGCTTTACGAGTATATTTTCATTCTTTTTGTACGTTTTTTGTTTAAATCATTATCATATGTATCTTAAGTTAATTGTTTGTAGTAAAAATTATTACAAATAAGTTATAATACATAAAATAATACCATTTTTGTCGCTCAAGCTGTTCAAAAATATCCTATTTTCAAAAAATGTACTTACCTTTTTTTGCACATTTTGTAAAAATAAGAAGAATTCGAGAGACGCTAAAATGGTGGTTCCCACCTTATCGATACTGAGGCCCATAAGGGTAAACTCGTAGCGTAACAAAAACGAGAAATGATTTAACTTGGAATGATAGACCGAAAGCCGATAGTAGTATTGGGACATTGAATTTTTTGGTTTGTGAAGCATTGGCATTACTTAGGTTAAACCATGTGATGATTTTCACAAGTCTTCATTTTTAAAAGCATTCTATATCGCCTTTTGATTAGGGTTTAAAAACTTGTTCAAGCAATAATAATTGGCCCCTTTACCTCTTAAGCCTGCTCATATAAAATATTTGGACTATGTTAAAAGAAGTAAATTGGCTTTCAGTTCAGAATTATATTCAGTACATGACTGATATTTATTTATACAATAAAAAAAAAAAACAATAAATGTATTCAAAAGTAACCTCAAACAATACTTGTTAAATAAACAGAAAGGATATACTTTCTTGTGATAATACTCTTTAAACCTGCCCTTTTTAAGTATTTCCCTTAATTTATTGTTATTTTATCCCTCGTTTTACCCGCATTTATTATAAATTATTTCTGTTTTGAGATCATGTACTTTATTTTAAAAAATTACTTGATATTATATTAATACTACTTACTATGTTTAAATTATTAATAGTTTTGCGACAATAAGTTATAGCAACTTACAGCCACAAAACTATTTTTTACTATTAACAGCTGTTGTTTAACAGGTCGTTAGAGAATGTTTGCAATTTATGGAATGTTAAGAATGTTAGGAATGTTGACGTTAGAAATAATTGGAATTCCTAAAATTGTCACATAAGAAATGCATAGGTGGATTTTAAGAAAATTGATATTAAAGTAGTTAGGATGAAACGAAAATTCTGAAAATCAATAGGGTTCTAAGTTAGAAGTAATTATTCAAGAAAATCAAAACCGCAAGTCAATCAGAACTTTCGTTCTAGAGTTATCGTGCCGGCATAGATACACACAGACGACCAGACGAATTTTGTTTTTTGCATTTTCGGACTCAGAATGATCGGAAACATGAAACATGTTTTAAACAATGGGGGTAAGAAATTTTTTTCGTCTGCACGAATGCAATACTGAGGCCCCTTAGGAAGGGCCTCAGTAAAATGATGGTTACAATTCCCTTATGCTTTTCTTTAATCATTACCCAGTAATTTATGTCAATTATACCACTAATTTAAAACCCAATATTAAATTAAACAGAGATATCAAAAGAAAATAATATAATAATAATAATAATAATAATAAACGTTTTTTATTGAGTTACAATATTCAAATGGCCATTGACCGAAATCCTTTAGCTCAATGATAATTTTTAAAATATTAGGATATGTTTTAATCTTATGTTCAAGAATTGATAATTAACAACATTAACATAAACAAAACAAATATACTAACACTTGAAAAAAAATATTACTTAACACTATTTTAATAGTACCTCAGATTTTAAATTAAATAGAGATATAAACATTTAACCATTCTTCCACTTTTGTTGTTTTCCCTCATCTTGGGATAAGCGATTTTATAATATATTTCTTGCAGACATTCCCGTTTGTTTTTTTGGAGGACTAATATATTATTTCAAAATGTTAGAAAGTTTCAAAGTATCAAGAACTTAAACAAACATAAAAAAACAAATTAAGTTGTCTCCCAAGAGACATCCCAGAAAAACATTAGGCATAAGCGACATTTTGAAACGAAATTATAAAATCATTTTTTCATAAACCATTTAAAAAAAATTTGTTAAATAATAGAACAGCGTTTATGTATTATTATAATAAATAGAAATATTTAGCCCATTTAAATTACGGAATGGCACTTACGCTTTTTAATTTCAATTGATCGAAAAGGCGTAAGCGACATTGCGCGTTTTAGCGAAATTATTAAAGAAATATTGGTTTTTAATAAAATTCAATATAAAATTTAGATTCTCAACCTGCAATTATATGCTTTAAAACCAAAATATCTAAGTTACCTTAAAATGTTTGCCACTTTACAAGTTCCCGAAATAAAACATGTTCTCTTGTAGACAGTCTGGCGAGAGATTTAGGTGGGAACGTTTGTTGCTTATAATATTTTGCAATCATGATTTTTGGTAGCTAATTCTTTTTGTGGTATCGATGTGAAATACGGTCTTGATAAATTTCACATAAATATCTCAATTCGGCCAATTTTGTCGCTTACGCCCTTTTGTCAAAACACCATCGATATGTATAGGATAAAGTACCTATACTTACTTAATTAAACATGTTTATGATCAGTTAAGTTTTTAATGATAATTTAATAGGAATTACTTATTTCATTGTACGACACCAGAACTGGGGAGAATACTTAAGAAAAAAAAAAGATCCATGATCCGGATTCACAGAGGAAATCCTTAAGGATTCGTATTCGAATTAGCAATATTAGTCTCGGATCCTTTTAGAGATCAAACTACGCCGGCGCGAACGGTCGACTTAGTCGCGAAGTGTAAACTGAAATAGACTGAGACTGAAGACCGATTGTTAATATTTATTGTTAATATTTATTTAACAACCTACAAATTAATATCAAGGAAGGCAGCAGAGCGCCTAGACAATTTTGAGTTTAAAACTAAGGCATACTTTTAGGCTATTTTAAGGCTATTTTTATTTATATTCAAAAAATTTATGCTCCTCGTTTTCTGCAAAAATCAAGGTTATCTGCTAGAGCTTTGAACGAACCCAGCAGAGCACCTCCGTTTTTTAAAGCTTTTTTTCTAAAAACAACAACATCGCATTTTTAGGCTATTTTTAGGCTCTTGAAATATTATAAAACTTTAATAAAAATTATTACTATTTTTAAATAATACAGGGTGCTTTGTTGGAATAAAGTTAGCAGAGCAACTCAGTTTATTTTTTTTCTGGAAACATCTACTTATGTCACATGTTTAAGCTTTTTTTAGGCTCTTAAAATATTATAAAACTTTTCGAAAAAAATAACGTTTTTTAAAAATAATGTTTTAAGAGTCCAAAAATATTGTGTCGTTGTTTTTGGAAAAAAACTTAAAATGCTCTGCTGACTTCGTTCGAAGCTAGCAGAGTACCTTGATTTTTGCAAAAAACGAGTAGCATAAAAATAGCTTTCAAATAGCCTAAAAATTTGGCATAGGTTTCAACTCAAAATTGCCCAGATGCTCTGCTGCCTTCTTTGACATTACAAATTAGCAATTAATACCAAACATAAAAAAATCCTAAAATTTAACACTTGCCTTCCTTCGTCTGGTGCTGTCTAACGATTATTTTTGTTTGCAGTTATAATAGACGCACCTCGAAGGAACGACTTTGAAATTTTGGTGCTATGTAAGGCCAACCAAAAGACATTTTTATTTCATTATTTATTTTGTTTTTTGTATTAAAATAAAATATATTTTTTGTAGATTCTAATTTTTTATGGTTCATATTTATAGAAAAAAAAAAATAAGTTTATTTTTTCAACATCTTTTGTATCAACCATTTGTATGCAAGTCATAGTTCGTAATAAACACATAGTTGATATTGATATTAGATTCGGAAGCATACATAATACCATGGTATGACCAAAGAGGTTAGAAAGGCTAGAGGTAACATAGGAAGCATTTGTCGCTGCGCAAATTTTGCCAAAACCGAAAAACTGGGTGGAAGGAGTAGGGAGACGTTCTGGGCCGGACTTAAATATTTGTATTGTAGTACCTAATTTTGGTGGGTAACTAAAAGATGAAAAATTATGAGACGTTTTTTTGACTTTATTTGCTAGCACGATTCATGTATGATGACGGCAATAACACTTTATCAATATAAGCTAAGGGCCGATTCCACCGTTGTTTCAAACGAAGATTAAAATGACATTGTTAATGTAAAAATGTCATTTTAAACTTCATTTAGTAATTTAAACTTCGTTTTTGTTAATATAAAATTGTCATTTTAATCTTCGTTTAGTATTTTAAACTTCGTTTAACAGAACGCGCGGTGAAATCGACCCTAAATAAAAGTTTATAAAATTATTGGAACAAGATAGCTGTTGAGACAATAAGTTATCGAAACAGCCAAAGTACTTTTTGCTCGAATTACACACAAGATTTTTTGTACGATCACACCAAAATAAAATAAATAATTAAATTTTATTAGAAATGGGTTACCTTTTCGTTCGTTATAATATTTTAAGTTTATTTGACTCTTCGAAGAGAAAAAAATGTTTTGGTACTTATATGCCGGTAATTATTTATGATTTAATTATTTACCGAAAATACCGTTCAATGAATTAAAATATTAGGAAGTCAATTAATAGTTATTTATGTAACCAGTTACGAAATGCCTTATTTTGTGTAACGAGTAACTATTTGCGGAACGAGCGGAGCGAGGTCCCGAAAAATGAACGAGTTACACAAAATGGCATTTCGTAACGTATTTACATACAAGATTTTTTCTAATTTTGACTTGAATATTTATAAAATTGTGTTGAAAAATGACTCACCATAATTCTTCTGTAGGTTCTTCCAATCAAATATTTTAGAAAATTGTTGTATTTGATTATCCTACGACGTTTTTTTTTTTTCAATAGTAATAAAAATAAGGGACATGTGCTGTGTTGCCGATCTAATTTTTGACATTACCAGCGAGAAATTTGAAAAAAAAACATTTTTACCCTTTATCCTTAGGAGTACCTACGTCAAAATTTTACCCCCAACATTTCTGGGCCGTTTTCAATAACGGTGTTATTTTAAAAATAAAACGCAATTTACAGCTTTTCTTTTTGTTGTTAAATGTAATGTCATATTTTCAAATGTGAAATGTCACTATTCATTGCCTTTTTTTCGATATTTGGTTTTTTCGTTTTTTCGATTTTTCGTTTTTTGGATATTTGGATTTTTCGATTTTTAGATTACTCGATTTCTCGATTTCACGATTTTTCGATTTTTCGATTTTTCGATTTTTCAACTTAAAAACCAAAAAAGAGGCAGTTTTATTTATTTTCATTTCGTAACTGGTGACATAATCAACTTTTCGTAATCAGTTGCATAATGTTCTACTTTATGCAACTGGTTGCATAAAGTAGATCGTTTTGACACTTGCTGCGATTACAAAATATATTACTTTATATGTCAAAAATGCAGAATGTATATTAAATGGATAGATCCCATATTATTATAGAGCAGTGTTTCTCAAACTTTTTTGGCGACGGTACCTTTTTGAATAGCGAAATATTTAACGGAGCCCTAAACACATAAAACACATAATTTAAAAAATGTATTTCAAATGTTTCTTTATTTTGACTCTCATTTTGATTTTCAATAGGTAAATATGATAAAAAATCGGCTTTATATTATGCTCCGATTTTACATATTCAATTTTATAATTGTAATTTGACAATATTACTGCCCATCTACGTAGTCTGTTGGCTGAAAATTGGGGTATACATTTAGCTGGGTTAAAAATAGTTACCAGAGGTAAGTGATCTGTAACTAGGATAAACAAATGTCCATATAAATATTCATTAAATTTATTTAAGCCAAAAATTATTGCAAGGACCTCTTTTTCAATTTGGGAATATTTTTGTTCGGACTTTGATAAGGTACGCGAATCAGAAGCTATAGATTTCTCAATATTTTTTTCAGAAACATGACATATCATGGCCCTTATTCCCACATTTGATGCATCTACGAATGAAAATGCACAAGATCATCATTTGTTGTTAATTTATTTTTGATTTATTCAAAAGATTCCTTGCAAGAATTATCCCAAATCCATTTCACCCATGAAAAATAAAATTAAAAAAAGTCTTAAAGCAAAATCATATCCTCCTTCCTCTTAGTGACTTAAAAAAATTACTTCTAAAAAAAAAGTCCTCAAGCCAGGTCCCTCCATTTTGTGGCGATAGAACTGTTTTTTTTTATTGTGATTATTTTCTTCGCGAAGCCCTCACACTTTGAGTAACACTGTTATAGAGAATTACTAAATAAATAGTTTTGAGAAAACTATTGAAACCAGTTGTCAAGTTTGAAACGAATAAATTGGCAATGAAATTGATATTTTTGTATTTGATTGTATGTTTCTCTTTTCACTTCCTAAAAAAAGATTCCCCATGAAACAAGAAATAATAAACAGTTTATAATAATAACCTTTATTTGCTACTTATAACATGTACCAATGACCAAGTCCGATTCTGTTTATTTTCAAATCAACAAATATGGACGTCGACAGAATCCTTAAAAATTAAATATCTCACCGAAATAAATGTAAGTTTCATTTATCTCAGTCACATTTCGCAGGTTTATTATAAATAAAGCTTTTTACAATATATCTTGGCATTTTCAACGTTAATTTCCAAAATTTTAGTCACTAAAATACCAAATTAATTCTCGTTGACACATTAAATTTTGATGGACAACGCTCTGACATGTGATGTTCTCAACCGCGATTGGTGGGTGTGAATAATTTCGAAATGGGATTATGCGCAGTGTCTTATGTTCCATCTAAGGTTTGTATAATCTAAGGGTATGACACATAGTATTCGTGATCCGAAAAAATGGATTCGAATCCTTTTTTATTTATTTTTTTTTTTCGGCATCGACCGTAAGCCTCCTTTTTTATTGGAAAAGGGATTCGGACATAGGATCCGTGATTCAAATCACATCTCGTGATTTGAATCAATTTTTTGAGGATTTGTCCCAGCTCTGTAAGACACCCACCCTTTCTATTTTGTTTTGATAAATTGTAATTTTCAAAGCATGTGAGTTAAATATTAATTTCCCTAAGGACCGATTCCACCGTTCTGTTAAACGAAGTTTAAAATGACATTTTTACAATAACAATATCATTTTAATCTCCGTTTAACACAACAGTGGAATCGGTCCTTAGTCAATTTTTTACAAATCATTTTATAACAAATATTAGAAATTAAAAAAAAACCGACTTCAAAAACGTACAGATGCCATCACCACATCTTAACCAAATTTATATGGGACCATGCTTGAAGTACCCCCTTTCTAACAAAAAAAAAAAGAATCATTGAAATCGGACTGTGTGTTAAAGAATTATCGCTGAACATACATAAAAAAAAAATTAAAAAAAAAATATTGCGACGAATTGAGAACCTCCGCCTTTTTTGAAGTCGGTTAAAAAATAATTGGAATGTTTGTTGAAGAAGGATGCATTTTTTTGTAAATCAAATTATTGCTTGAATCAATCAAGTAAGTTTGTATGGAATGCTGACCTCTTTTTATAATTTTCCACATACCATTGGATTGTTATAATTTAACAATCTTATTTATCATCAAAATATTGGGGGTTCAGAATATATACCTCAGTACAGATTTAGGTGTTTTAGAAAGGTAAACTGAAAGTTTTTTTACCTAAATCTGTACTGAAATCTATATTCTGTAATTGGAAATCAAAATATGTATCTAATATGTCATATGAATATGTTTAATCAAACATGATAGGTATTCGGTATTCAAACCTATTTCAACAACATGAGGTTTGAATTGTATAACTTTTTTTAGTTATCATTCATATCTTATACTAATTTGCACTTTCATTTTGTGCTACTTTTTCTGAAACAGCTTTTTATTTAATATTGTTTTTAGTTATGTGTTAGAAAACGAAAAGGTTTTTACCCAAATAGTATTCCCAAAGAAAGAGGGTGTAACGCTAAATATATTTCTATATGCATCTCTTTACTTCTATTTATAGGTGAGTTATTTGAAAATTATGTAACTTTAAAAAAATATCTATTATTAATTACTACAAAAAAATTAAGAAATTCTTCCAAATTTTCATTCGTTTTTTTTTTGGTCTGAGATAAAAATATTTTTAGGTGACTGGTTTACCAACTCAAGTTCTTTTGCAGCATGTTTCAGTAAGTTAATAACCTTTTCAGAGCCTTCTAGAATTAACCAAAATAATATTTACAGTGCACTACACAAGTGGAATTATATTTTCAATAATTCTCCAACTCATATACAGAGTTGTATTAATTTCCGAAGAAGGCAGGCATTTAGAGTCTCGATATGATGGAAAAATTAAGAAGTTATTAAAAGATGCTTTTCATTTTAATTTCCATATCTGGTTGGTGTTTTTTGTCTGTACTCTATATTGCATATCTTATTACATTATGCATGGTCTGCCTTTTACCATAATTAATGTTCAAAGACTTGTTCTTGCTTCTATAAGCATTTACCTTTTGGGAAAAGTTCTGAAATTGGTAAGTACAACTCTAAAATTAATAAACAGTAAAAATCCTAATTGCAACCCTGGTCTTATTATTATTATTATTATTATTAGACAATCCATTTTATGTAAAATCATTTTTACCATGCTCTCTAGGTACATGTTTCAATAGTGTTAAAAAGAGGGTTGCCAGATTTAAAAAATTTAAGAATGGGAGTTGAGTAGAGCCTGCGAGGAAAAAAAAATGGGGTATCTCGCCCTAATTTTGCCACATTTTGTCATAAAACGCAAATTTTATAATAAAACTTAATTTTAAAAGACTAAAGATAAAGATATTTTTTTTGAAGCGCAGCTATTTGACAAAAAATATTGACCATATTTTTCAGGACAAAACGAATAGGTATATAAAAAATAAAAACAAAACAGGAAAAACTAAATATAAAAACAAATTAATACCACGAAAATTTATAATTACTTCTGTGCCTTTATTTTTAGTTAGATTTTTGTGAAATTTTTAGAAAATACCAATAACAAAACTTAGGGTGGAGAATCCTTGAATTTTTTGTAAATATTCTAAAAGTATTTTTTTTTTAAATGTTTAAAAATGAATTTAAAAAAAATACGCTTCATTCTGTATTAAATCTATAAAATTTGGCTACTTTTTGTTGTAATAAATATCTAGTAGTTCTTAAAAAGGAGGAATTACCTCCTTTTTTTTTAAACGTCTCTGTAGAGTGCTGCCTTATCGTTGCACAAATTTAAAGCTCCGAATATTCTCGAGATAGATAATATCGCGAATTATTCCCAGTGGCGCGCATATAAATACAATTTTATATTAGAAAATCCTTAAAACATTTTTGCTTTCGCGAGAGGTCTGGTTTGCTCTTAAATATAATGACAAAATAAAAGATCACTAAAAATAAAAACAATATTATTAAAAAATACATAAGGAAAGGTGGATTTTAAATATTAAGCTGTACTGTCTTTGGAAACAAAAAAAGATGCAAATAATTTACCAAAAAGTTAAAGATAGGTGCCCAAATTTAAAATAATTATTTCATGTATATTCTATTTTGCGTAAAAGTGGATATTTAGTAAAAAAGCGGAAGCCTCTCCCTTAAATCGGGAGGGTTTGCAACCCCATTTAAATGTTTAATTTCAAGTAAAGAACCAATAATTTCATTCTTTTGAGCAATCTAATATAGATGCATATATTGTTATGTTATATTGTTTTTTTTAATTTTAAGTTCAGATTCTGATCATCCACAACCAAACAATCAGCTTTTATCTTTTATTCTATATCTATTTTTAGCTTAGTTTAGATAATTTGTTGATTGCGAATTTAATGATTTATATTTATTACTGGTATCTCTTTTCATATGCAATCTATTTAGATTATGTTTGTATATTATCAATTTAAAAATTACTCAAGTCTAAGTTTACATAACAGTGTGCGTGCCCATTCCAAGACACATCAATAGGTGTAAATGTAAAAAATCGGACATTGCAAGATTTTCTTCATACTTCCTCTAAGACTAATGTCATATCTGGGAATAAAATAGGCATCAACTAATTAAAACAACACTCACGAAAACACAACACTATATTATGTAAACTATGTTAATTAATTTTAAATGAAATAAATCTGATTTTAATATAGAATCGAATTTAATCAGTATTAAGAATAATAATACATAAATGAAACGTATCGAATGAATGTCTATGAAAGAATCCCGTGCTAATCACCAAATATTCTTATGTGTCCCAGTTCGACGTATCGTTCTACGAAATATGAGTAGCACTCGTGAATCATGACAGGGTGGTCCTAGCCTAGCGATAAACGAAACATCCGAGTGGTTACAGTCGGCTAACCTGATAAATTTTCGCGTCCTCGCGAAGAGTAATCTGTAACATACAAAACAAACAAAATATTAATTAAACTGAAATTAATGAATGTGAGCGCGAATATTTCTATAACAAATATACGGCTCCACTAGTATCGCTTTCCGAAACTTTCGTAACAGTTTCATTTTATCTGAAGGACAAATGCCCGTATAAGCTGTCCTACAACGTTTGGACCCTGGCAGTTCGTCAACCACGTACCGATCGTCATCGAGTACGTTCCCAACTAGGGTCCTTTACAAAGGCTCAAGCTTCCTGCTTCGTCCGTCATTGGAGCCTTTATTTGCTTGGCCAACCTTCAATTTTCTTAACTGAGCATGCTCATTATCGTAACACATATTTTGGTACCTCTGCGCATCCTATCGGGGTTATGATGGACAATCAATGCTATTCCTAACTGACAGGCCATTTGTAAACATATTGCTATTTCTATGTGTTTACAAAATAACAGACCAGTCAAAAACAACACAAGTTGTCAATCATAAACCCCTTTATCTTTTCAGAAAACTTATTTCTAATCATTTCCAAATCTGGACATTCGTTATCGTCACAGACTTCAGCTGTCAAACATCATTAACTCATCCAGGACCATCGAGATAGAATGAAGTAGAGACGACATAAACACTTTTTTTTGCCTTATAACAGATGAACGCACTTCGAGTAATGGAAAAGTGTAATAAAAATGACGACTTAAGAGTCGTACGTTGATTTATTTGAATTCAATAATTTTATGTTTGAAGATTGACGAAACGAAAATGTTTTTATATCACTTAATTAAAGTTATTTTACAAAAAGGCATTTATTCTCACCAACAGTGACTAGTATCGTAATAGTATCTCCTCTTCGTTCCATCTCAACATCCAAATAGTTCGAAGGGAGTTTTCCCTGTAGTGGAATTAACGGTCAAATTAATTCCCCATTTTACATCTGCTACAGCTTCGTCCCAACGATTTTCGTCATTAGCTGAAGCTATAACTGTTCACCGTTCTACTTGGCCGTAAGCCCGATGAGTCTAAGTAGTACATACTACATGTTTAACACCTAAAGTCAAACATACCTGTTTAACACCTAAAGTTAAATACACTTGTTTAACACCTAAAGTTAAACACACTTGTTTAACATCTAATGTAAACATATCTTAACACCTAAAGTTAACAGTATTCCTTAATTTTTTTTTTATAAAATCAGTGTCACAGTTGCAAATAAAACTGCGATGAACCCTGAACATTTCTATTACGTCATCTAGAAATTCAGTACAGGCACCAGCCCAGTTTTTGTATTCTTGTATCAATTTTAAAAATACAAATTTCGTAAAGCCGTTAACTGCTACGATGAGATAAGAGTTTTCCCCAATACTCTTATATAAATTTCTTAAAACCGTTAATCGATATGATGAAATACGAGTTTTCCTAACACTTTTATAAAAATTTCTTAAAGTCGTTAATTGATATATGATAAGATACGAGTTTTCCTAACACATTTATACAAATTTCTTGAAGCCGTTAATTGATATGATAAGATATGAGTTTTTCTAACACTTATACAAATTTCTTAAAGCCGTTAATTTATATGATGAGATACGAGTTTTCCTAACACTTTTACAAATTTCTTAAAGCCGTTAATTGATATGATGAGATACTAGTTTTCCTAACACTCTTATACAAATTTAGTAAAGTCGTCAACTGCTAAATGACCTATCACGAGGGTGATGCGATTTACTAACATTAAAATTATTAGTCATGCTGTTTTTTGGGATAAACCATCTCTTTCCTTTTGCAGTTTTTGAAAGTCGTCTATTCTTTATACAATATTCTTTATAAATTTGTCGTTCTTCATTTCGTAATTATCTATAGGATCTCGTGACAAAACATTCATAATATTATTACAAGCGTTGCCTTGAAGTATCCGGTCATCTTCTTTAATATTTACAATCATTACGTCAAGTGATTGATCCGTGGGTATAATAGTACTTCGGCTCAGATCGTCTACGTGGCTGATCTTAGTGACATACACGGTATTCAATACCAAAATCGAATTCTTGAATTGATAGCCACTATCTTGCGATGCGAAGAATTAAATCTCGTTTTATACGGGTGTTACAAAGTAAATTACAATCGGTGACGATTTTAACTTTATGCCACTTAAAACTGAACTTTTTAAATGCGCATACAGCCGCCAAAGTTTCACGCTCATGAATAATATTTTTTCTCTTCTTTGGTTGTGGCTCTACTAAATATTATACTAGCCTAAAGTGCTGTAATTTTGATGTATAGAAGTATTCCTACTGGTCCGACTTTACTGGTGTCATAATGTTCTTCAGTTTTCACTTATCTGTTATAAATAGCATATATGGATCGTTCTACTAGCTTCTTTATTTTTAAAATCGCCGAATTTCGTTGATATCCTCAGGTGCTGCAAAATCTGCTATAGTGTGCTGGGTGTGTCGACTTCCATTCCGATTTGGGCGTCCTTTGCGGTCATCCTGCCTCTTCTTAGAGGTCTTTCGTCCTCCTCTCCGTCATGGGTCTTCATCCTCTATCCACCGGTCTTCATCATCCATTCTCCGTTGTAGGTCTAAATATTTTGTTCCTAATCCTTTGTAATACAGCAGGAGCATTTACCAAATCAAAAGTCATGCAGTATGAACCGTACCTTACAGTTTTGTTATCGTTTAATGTGATCAACATTTCCGTAACAGTCATTTTAGCAACCTTTCGTAAACTAGTAGCGAAACAATCGCCACACTCGTTAAGTAATTTAAGTAATTTAGAATGTTCAATTCTATTTAATACTGAATTAGTTTGTTCCTCAAGATCAAATAACGTAAAATTTGGTAATACAGCAATATCTGTTGCTTATCAAGTTTTAAAAGGTAACTATCTTCGAAACTCTGGTACAGGTGTAACCTCTAGCAAGTATTCTGTCTTTTTCATAACAAACAGATTTATCGGACATATTGGCAACATGAATACAGCAACAATTATGTTAATAACATACGGTAAAATAATATGAAAATTATTATCCTAATTTGTATATCCTAAATCAACAAAAACATCTTAGATCTACAAAAATATCTTAGATCAACAAAAACATCTTAGATCAACAAAAATATCTTAGATCAACAAAAACACC